CAAGTTAACGCATCCCTGCCGTACGTATAACATTATCTTCAAGGTGCCTTGTGACAAAACTGTAGAAATTACCCTTAAATCACCGTGAAAAGTATGAAAGAAGTTGTACTTTGTTTCATCCCTGGATTAATTATATCAAGACGATACGAGTCTGCGGTGATTTTATTCGACCCGATTAAAGTAATTCCTTCGAAAAGGGGCCACTAGGCAGAAAGGGATCATTTGGCCTCTTTCGATGGATAGATATCATGTGCTGGTTTCAACATCAAAGCGTCCGGCAACGATCCAACGTATTTACGGTGACCTGGCTGAATTACTTCGCGGTTTGGCTGGCACTCGTTGGCAACGTTTGCAGTTTCTTCGGTATCTTCACCTCGCGGTATGAAACACGGAATTAGAAGTCCCAAACTTATCACGGTTTAAACGAAACCATAATGTAAGAGCGAATCATATCGTGAAAAGATCTCGAAAAATCAACGTCGAAGTAGTTAGTACCTAAAACTTCGCTTTGGCCTTGATTGTAGGTATTTGTGAAGATTGAATTTTCCACATTATACTTTACTACTTACTTACCCACTTACTTACCTACTAACTAACTAACTAACTAACTAACTAACTAACTAACTAACTAACTAACTAACTAACTAACTAACTAACTAACTAACTAACTAACTAACTAACTAACTAACTAACTAACTAACTAACTAACTAACTAACTAACTAACTAACTAACTAACTAACTAACTAACTAACTAACTAACTAACTAACTAACTAACTAACTAACTAACTAACTAACTAACTAACTAACTAACTAACTAACTAACTAACTAACTAACTAACTAACTAACTAACTAACTAACTAACTAACTAACTAACTAACTAACTAACTAACTAACTAACTAACTAACTAACTAACTAACTAACTAACTAACTAACTAACTAACTAACTAACTAACTAACTAACTAACTAACTAACTAACTAACTAACTAACTAACTAACTAACTAACTAACTAACTAACTAACTAACTAACTAACTAACTAACTAACTAACTAACTAACTAACTAACTAACTAACTAACTAACTAACTAACTAACTAACTAACTAACTAACTAACTAACTAACTAACTAACTAACTAACTAACTAACTACTTATCTTACTTACATGCTGCACCCACCTTCCTCGGAGCTGTAGCCTAAGTAGACTTTGACCGTACGACGGCCGAAGGGATATGGACTGGAAACCATCTTTGACTTGATGGAAGACCATATAGCGAACACAAATAGTAGAGTGGAGGACCCAAACTTGTCACATTGCGTAAGAGGAACTCCTGCTAGGAACTGTTTTGCACGGTGTGTGATTAGTATCAGAGAATGCTGAATATAGAGGAAAGCATCCGAGATATGAGTTTGAAGGTCTTCAGCTGGTTTGACCCGATCTTCAAAACATTGATGAAGTAACTTTAGTCTCAGGCATAAGTTGTTTGGGAATGAAGTGTGTTTCGACGAATATCATACAGTAATTGAGGCTCATGGTCCCATTCGTTGGCTGAAATCGCTCTCAGAAGATCTGTCTTAGACATTTTGGGTGGGCGTAACTCGCGAGAGTCAGTAAATCTGACAAAATACCCTTCTTAGAACTTCTTCTTAGAAGGTCACTAGTCGCAGCTACTATCCTCTCCAAGCCTCGCAGGATTTGAAAATGCCGCGCATGATTTGGAATCAGGTGAACGACATCGAACAGTTGCTTCAAAACAGCTTCACACTGAACGTTGTCCTGATCGGGGAGTGGAATATCTTTCTGAAAGGTTGCCCTATGACTGTATACCTACATCTGAGAGCACGGCAACGCTCCCCCACCGATCAGTCAGAATACGTCTTATTTTAGCTCAACCGTACAGTTCCTCAAGTTAGTCCTGAATTCTGGAGAGCCACAGACACTGATATCCACTCTCTACTCCATGCCATGAATCTTCGTGGCTTCACAGTAAGAACTATGCAAGGCAAAACTACTCTGACTCAGACTCAAAAAGGCTGTATCTTATTCTGATACGCCGGCTTGCGTATTTAGCAACTCATTGAGCTGTTTGAAAGCTTCCAACTTAACATCCACAGAATCTCTCCTACCAGGATGGCGTCTAGGCTGGGGGTTGGAACAAGTGTGGCAGTTTGTTCGCTAAGATCTGTGTTAATCAGTTAGTCTTATACTGACCTTGTGGTTGGGATCTTGACCCAAAGGTTTTGTCTGAGGACCCTAGTCATCCTGGTGTCTAAATGTGGGTAACCCGAGAGTACTTCGGCCTCAAACTTTACGGATAAAACTCTCTGGTCCATCGCATCATTCGCTTGAACACCAGGGTGCAGCTTTTCAGAAGAACTCAGGAAAAGGCGGAAGAATTTACCTCGGCCATTGTCACCATCAATGACAGCATAATATCACTTCACTGATTCCTCGCTCCGTACTTTCCGAACAATGTGGATCAATTAATGGACTGGACATAGGGGTCACAGAAAACTAAATTATGTTGAACTGAGCCCTTTGTCTACTGTTTTGAAACAACTGTCGATGAACTACCGGATGATACGCAGTCCCAAACTGACCCTGATCACAATTCGGCAGAGAGCGGTTTGAACAAAAGATTGGTGCACCAATCGGATCGACAGTGTCAGAACTCATCTTAGAGCTCCTAGTTCAAAACTGGAATCAAGTGCTACATAAATCCAAAAACGCGGTTATTTGTAAGTGATTGTATAACTTTTACTCGGATCATTCCCATTTTGACAGTCCCCCTCCAGCGCTGGCAAAATACGCGCCCAGGAAGAGAAGAACTGGACTCTAGTTTTGTTCGTATCGGAGCCCATCAGCAGCGTATGATGCCATTAGCCGTGACGGAATTTCAACGCCAAATATGATATGCCAAGCGAGATTTTCTTCACCAGTCTGAACGGGAAAATTTGCCGTGGATATAGAGAGTCGGGCCAAAAACTAATTCTGCTGCTGGACAGTGCTTAGAAGCACGAAAACTTGTGCACAAATACAGGAGCATCAAGGGCAATTGATCAGATCAATTAGTATTGATTTGTGCTCGCCAAGCGGTCTTCAAATGTCGGAGAACTCGTTCCACTATACCGGGGAGGAATGCCGTTGTGTGAACGCGTGTATATCCTAGCAGTTTGGTGAGGCGGCGTTGATGTCGGGTGTCGGTACGATTGAAAGTGAGGGGATATCTTGTGTTGTGGGATCTGACATGGTATAACTGTCACGTTGGGCTCACCATTTGGTTGTAACGTTATTAGGTTGATTATCAGATTGTGACAAGCACTAACAAATGTCCGTTTTATCAGAATGATGATGAATACAGTAGTTATGTGTAAAATTAAAGTAAATACAATGTAAGAAGAGAATAGGCCAAAAAGTCACTTATCGTTTGAAGACAACTGTTGAGAGTTCCTGAGTGAAGTTCCTTACGCGGGACGTGTCTTCTCTGTAGTATAGATGCTACATGTGTTCCGTAGTTATCCGTGGGGACTTGTGGACCCCTGTCCTGTACGCGCGAGCGTGTGTTTTTGGGCCAAGTTGCATACCTATTTATGGTGTGGAGTGTGAAGAATGGGGTGCCCGTACGTGTTTGATAATTGCAAGAAGGTGAATACAACTTGATCTGATGAGGTAGAAATTCGTAAGTTTGGCTCTTGACGCAGTTAGTAGCCGCGTAAACAAAAAATGGATGGAATACTGTAGTGTGCATATTGTCGGCTAAGGTTATCAGTGGGACAGGAATTGTTAATTGGTTTGGGCGTTTGTTGAGCGTAATCTAGAAAGTGATCGCTACAAGATCATCAGCATATGTTGGGCGGATTGGCAACGTAGATTATCAATTAACCATCGTCTCCACTCCAATGCCTGGCCCTAGAAAAAGACTCACCAACAAAGATGACAAGAGCTTCATTACAAAAAAAACTAGTGCAACGTTTACAACGGCCTCGCGCTATTCAAAGGGTACTTTTTGACATTGATCTAGGCTGTCTGTTTGGTGAACACCTATCAATATCGGGGCGAGATGGCTCAAGTGGTTCTAAAGCGAATTTACTGACCGAAAGGTCCGTGGTTCGAACCCGGCCTCTGGATCTCGACTTCCTCTGTCTAGGCTTGGGCAATCTGGCAGTATCCAAGCCCTCGTGCATCCTTCGTGTGGCATGGCAGGTAGGCACCGAAATGGTGCTACAGCTGAACCTATCAATTTCGACCGTGCTTCTATAAAGTGCCCGAACACTTTTCATGGTCCATCGTACTTCCTTGGCACACCTGAGCACTCATCGGTTTTTGTTGAATTTCTTGGGTAATTGACTGGCCTAAGTGCTGGCCGGTTTTATGAAGTTTTAGGGTCTCGCTAGGTCCTGGTCATCCTGGGATAATTTTCAGAAATATTATCACAAACATATACAAACATATACACAAACCAAAGTGTAGAAACCAAAGGTGGAAAAATTGAGGGCCAAGGAATTGTAACAAAAGTTACTCCAGACAAAACGCAGGAAAGCATTGTGATTGATACATGTCGAAGACTTGTTCTCAAGCTTCATCAATGGAGGCATAAAAATATGGCATGACGTGAACGTGGAAGGTCTTCAGCGGTAAACTGAAAGGTGAGAGTTTTCGCAGAACCGTACAACCCTGACTCACCAGCTGAATTCGACGAATTTTTGGCGGACCGAAAGTCTAAGAAGTTGACTATGATACATTCATATACTTCCTTTGTTCAACAAGTGAAGCACAGCTGTGTCTACGGTCATTGTAGAGGGTGTAGAATATGTTTGTTTCGTCTACCCGTAGTTGGTCTCTTTAGATCAGCGTCGGTACCTATGATCTTGTCTTCAGTCCTTTAAATGTGGCCAAGAATTTCAAGTTTATTATCCGCGAACTCCAGTTTACTGAAGGCTGTAATGACTGGGCCACAACCAATCTATTTATTCGAAGAAATCAGAGGCAAATTGTAACTGATCTGGCGGAACTTGTGCCATACTCTTGAAACCTGCGTTGTGCCAGATTCGAGAGGTTATCTTTTCGGTAACTTACTGTTGTCTGACACTCGAATCTTGATACCTCGAGTTTAAGCTTTTGGAAGCCATTTGAGAAACCAAACAGTCATTCATGTGACTGAATACCTGCTTTGAGCACGCAATCCCTTAGTGTCCACAGTGTTCCAGAATTCAAAATCAGTTAAATAAATTTCAAACCCAAGTTGAGCAGCCTGCCTAATCAATTTATTTAAGCATTGACAAGACAATAGAATTTTTGGGTTACCTAAGTGCTGGGTCATGGGCCAAGTTAAGCAGCCTGCCTAATCAATTTATCTAAGCATGTGACAAGACATAGCATTTCTGGGTTACCTAAGTTCTGGGTCATGGGGACAGTTGCTTGATTCTAAAATGACCGAAAGGCAAGATCTTCGGTTTGGACGGAACTTTTTGTTCTGAAGGGTGCTTTCAGAGCAGTTAAATGTCCTGGGAAGCATCTGGACAGTCATTTTGCTCAACCAATGTGATAGAACTGCCCTCATGGCAACCAGTCACATAAAACCTCCACTCAAAAAATGGCTAAACGTTTTTCAAAGACTTGTCAGTAAATAATACCAAGGGAGTGGAAAGATGTGTCGGATGTGGTCACCACTGTATGTAGACAGCAGCTACCTGAAATGCGGGCGAGATCCACATTTGAGGTGCGGAACTGAGTATCTGTCTAGTATTACTCGGATAACATCTCGAACCCCTTTCACACGAAAATCAACGTTGGTGCCTCCAACGGTTAAGTAGTCCTCATAGCTACAGTCTTTTGGTCTTCTTTTAATAACGGCGGCTCCACTGTCAGAAGATAACTTATTCAATTTTATGGTAGTTCCAAACCGATATTTTCTCTCGAAACATTTCCAATGAGCGTGGATGCGCAGTACGGCTGTTCAGCTCCTGCTGGAAATGTTATCTGCAGCGTTTACCTCACGAGTATGTAGAGATCCAAACTTCCAACCTTTCGTGTGGGAATTTGAACCCCATACTAGTTCACCTGAACTCGTCATTCAACTAGGAGCCGTTGGTGATTGAATCCCCAAATGGCAAAGAGAATTTGTCATTCTCGTTGGTTTAATCGTGTTCCTAATTAATGGCTTCTTTCAACTTTGTTTTGCATCTTTCAGCACGCATGTCAGTGTAGTCCAGGGCACTTTGGAGATCTTTGTGAATCGACGCAACCAATAGCCGAACCGATACTGAGTGCAAATGGGTCAGAATTTTCGGGATCCGAGAAGGACGTAATGCAGAAGTGCACAAACAATACATGTCTTAATGGTGAGTTTTAGTGACCCTTAAATACCCCCACGAGGCTATCCTCTCGTGCAACACGTTGCATGTGAACTGACAACGCGGTGGTACCAGTTGGGATGATAGTTGATCTTGGAAACTGAGAATAATATAGCATCATGGGCTGAATGTGATATGTACGGGTGAGAGTATGGGTCGAAGAAGGCAATAACTATGAGATTTAGGCATTATTTCCCGAAAAATACTGCACGTAATGTATATGTAAACACATAGTGCCTGAATCTCTAGTTTTTCACTCTGCTCCCACTCCAAACTCACGAGAATTAGCCGTTGCCTCTACCAAGAACAGTAAAAAACAGGTACACATGTCCAGCTATGTTACAACTAGTATTAATATTCCTGATTATGTACAGCAAAAAATCTTGCATGGGGATCGATACTTTAACTCTTTGGATTTTGAAATGATAACCGTGTCTGTATAAATGCGCACCTATCAGAATACGCTACTCATCTGATCTCTGAGACTTCTCCGACATTCTTTTGCTGGTTTCATCCTCCTTGGCGGTTAGCAGTCAGGCACAGTTCCGAGTTTCCACTGTTTGATGAAATACACCAGGTTGCAAATTAAGTTGATTTTAACGAGAAATCTAAAGTAAGCCTCTCCCTTCTGTGGTGGAATCTCGTTAACAACACAACTAGTACGATACTGGCAGCGCTCTACCAAGGAAACATGCTGAGAGTTCCCAGATGTAATGCAAGGTCAAACACGAGGGGAGATCTTGCAGCACATACAATATGTGACTAAACATTCCAGTACTGTCACATCTCAGTTGACAACATATCTGCCAGCCACAGACACTATAAGCTCTTCATGGTGGCTATCAGGTGATGATGTTCATGTTGAATCTAATTCCTATTCGTTATGGTCATTTCAAAGTATTCCAAATTAAGTTGACATGTAAAGATGCATTTTCTGGCTCAAAATAACCAGTCACCTATGGAGGGTGAGAAATTTACTGCAGCGACTCCTAGCCATCTGACAGTATAAGTCCTTGGGCAGACCATACAGTACGACTGATAAACCAGTGGTGTCCATATGCGCGTTTTAACAGCTGATCATGGGCCGTTTTAGGGTATACGGAATTTGGGGGCGGGGATGTAATGAACAGATAATGGAGAAAGGCCGTGCAATTTAGACTGGTAAATTAGTCATTCAGTTTTAGACAGAACCGAAAACGTGGGTCAAGGCAGATATATAATCTGATATTCTGGTTGAGTAAATACTTTCCCCTGATATTACTATCCAGCACATGCGCATTGGGCCTGTTCTGTCAGTCTGTGCTAACTACTTTGGTCTTTATAAGTAGTTAAGAATATGGCGAAAAGTACTGGCCATCTTCCCGAACTGGATAGAACTCATTGGAGTAAAAAAATTGTTGCCGAAGGCGTTTTTTGTTCTATTTGACTAGATTCAGCGGGGACACAGAAAATGGATGGAGGTGAACTCTCTTAGAACTCGGCTGTTTCGGTATACCTTTCGATTAAACTCCGACTAAGTAAACCATACATTCGAAATCGATCAACGTATGGATACGTCGAAGCATTTGATGTGGGTACTAGTGGCCAGTGCAGACAGTCTGTTCAGGGTTTTGGAGGAAAAAAGAAGAGGGTTTTATTTTATTTTATCTTCATGTTTCCTTGGTTTTGAAAGTGATTTTCCGCTTATTTTGGTTAAACTCCTTCATTCACGTATTTGGTTGTAGTATTTGGTCCCGCTGTTCCTAGGATTCAAACAGACCTCCTATCAGATCTCTTGGACAGAGACCTCCCTTGAGTCAGCGCATTTAGAATTTTTCCACAAACATTGCTGAACAAGCAAAATGCTGATCTTGTATGTGATAGGAACAGGTCATCAGTAAAATTAGCGAACTCCAACACTGACTAACATGAGGTTTAAAGTTCTACTAACCCCCCCACCGTCAGTAAGCGCGGTTATATGGAGTGTCCTTGCAGAACTTGACCGGTGCTTCCAAACCGGCTTAACTTTTAACCGTTTCACTGATCCGCACCTGCGACTTACCATTAGTTGCTATCCGATATCAATTGATTGGCTTTCTTCGCTTTAAGTTCCGCTGTCGCTATAAATGTAGGTGTACCGGGGCAAGACCGCATAACACCTTCAAATGGAATGCTGTAATGGAAGCTGGCGTTGTTACCAGCATGGAAAGATTCAGTTACGTTTGTAATTCCATCATAAACATCAAAGTAAGATGTGGGCTCTGAACATAACGCGGGTGACCTTGGAGAATGTTCACTTATCACTTTACACGGCCAACTGCCCGCCCTGAGCCTCCTGGGGAGCACCAAGTACGTCTAGTATCCAAATTTCCACCAGTCTTCATGTCGGACAAGAAAAATGTACAAGGTGGGGAACAATATCATGAACGCAAGATTCGGCTGAATTTCAGTCTTTCGTCTCACGATGGAAAACGAGTGTTTATTGTGGAAATTTGTGGACTGGGCTTACCTACTTGGCTCCAAGAAAAGCGAAACCTGGAGGACTGTCCAGAAGTGAGGAGCATACTCCGATATCTCGAGGGTCGTTCAAACGAAATCAAGAATAGTCGTTTCTGCTGCACACATAGTTTTAGGGTCTATCCCTGACTTGCTTAACGCCAAACAACTTTTTCTGCTTGAAAGAGTCAAGGTCCGCATCTTTTGTGAATGCAACAGGAATCCAAGGAAATATTTGCATAGTCGTTGCATTCGCTGAGCGATCGTGTGCCATCTCATCGTAGGACAACCACAGTGCCCACAAGCGAAGCTCACTGTTAACTTGGAGCTTCTCAGGCTGAATACCACATCCAAACTGTAATCAGTATGCGCAAGAATCATCCTTGCATGCGGTACAGAAATGATCAACTTGAACTAAGAATCACAATACAAGGCATAGTTGAATTAGATATACATAGGACTGTAACAAATTTTCTCCGAGGTGGGAACACGTTTATTCAGTTTGCATCCAAGTCATACCTTCTGTACTCAAGCCAGACCGATATTGCTGCCATTTGATTTTTTTGGTTTTGTTCGCTGATTCGCCAATCTGTTGTATCTGACTCTTGACCCCACTCCAATGCCTAGTGCCAGAAGAAAACTCACCGAAACGAACACAACAGCTTCATTCTGAATAAGCGAGTGCGAGAGCCTGGGTGCGTGCGACTGCGAAAACACGACAGTCTCCAGTTATTTCATTGGACGGACACTGTCTAACCTTGGTCCAACGCTGTCTCGCGCTATCTTGCTTCAGTGCAAGGTTTTCACACGCTGAATATTGCGGGGGCGTTGTCTGACCTCGATCATCGCTGACTCGCTCTGTCCGGTTTTGATACTAGGCTGTTACGCGTTGAATATTGAGGGGGCGTTGTCTTTCTGGTCAACATCAAGCGGAGTTGAGAGTCTCAGTAGATTTCGGGTATTCAGGGGTTACTTCCAGGAATCTGATCTTCCTGGTGGAACTGCTATTCTACTCCACACTGAAGAATAAAATGACGTAGTGTATATGGAAAATGGAGGTTGGTTTGTGGCTAGGGCGTTGGGCCGATCGTATGAACTGTTACGGAGAACTACTGAACAGTGGATTCATAAAAGAATCGCCACACGATTTCATTTGCAGACTAGTTCGTTATTTACCGGAGACTCAGCTAACTAATGGCTGAATCTCCCGTTTGTTATATTCTCCAAGTAAATATGCTGGATAAAGCCAGCCTTGTTTTACTTGGTACAATATTCGAGATATCGCATTATATTGTCACCAAGGAAACTATTCTCAATGCGACCTTCGTGCAACACATTCAGTTTAAGAATAGCGTAAACAAGAGAACCGGTTAGGATTCAGGCGAGTTTCCCTTGAAAACCAAGTTGGTATTCAATTTCGGTTCAATTAGTGCAGAAGGTTGAAGAAAACTCAGGGAATGCGCCTACTTGATGATCCTCAAGAAGGAGAAAACCGGTCGTCGGCTGTCGGAGGCTTTCCAGAAAACTTGTGGATAGTTTTCTTCGAGAGGGGACATTTAAGACGGACATTTAAATAGCGTGTGCAGCGCTCGTATCCGTTGACCACAAATATCGCTTTGTTGATGTCAGGCATCGTTTCACTTCCAATGGTTGCCACGTCTGCCATTGACGGTCACGTCAAAAACAAGGCTTTCATTTCAGTGCATATGCTGCACACCGAAGTATTTCAAAAACGTTTCCTTTAGTGTAGCTACATAAATATTGAGGAATGAGATGGTTCTGTCGTTGGTAAGGGTGTCAGTGGGTGGATACCAGGAATTACTAACAGTCGTGTAGCAAACCCCCCTCCCAACAAGAAGCGGCTATAGGGAACGCTTGTTTGTTGTTACATTTCCTCCATATTTAAGATGCGGCTCTCTGATCCACGATTATCTTCAAAATAATCAACAAAAGTGATAAAAAGCTACCAGACCCATGTCTTTTTAAGGTGGAACACAAGAGGTCAGCAAGCGAGATAAGTTTTTTTTCTGTCACAAAAATACAACGGACGTGAAATGAAAGCCACTAGCGTCTACCTACTTGGATTAACAAGTAGTATGTAATCATTTCATATATTTCGAGACAGGTGGCGATCACTTTTCGTCAGTTTTCCTGAGAAGGAACTGCCTATTGAAGGAGCACCCTAGGTGAAGAAACCCGACTACGGACTTAGACTTTCGCACGGGAATGGGTTGGATCTAGTGTACTGTGATCCTGAACTTTTCAGCAAAATTAATTTACATTGTAGTCTATAATTTGCGTCCTCAGTAGGGGCATTCGGTGATGTCGGAAAATTCCACCTACCTATTCTGAATCGAAAGGTCGAAGCACATTCCACTGGACCGTATGAGGAACTTGCTTGAGAGTTTTGGTATCTCGCGCATTTTCCCCAGTTTTTTTTCAGCTGGAAGTATCCAGTAGGGCGGTGTGCCCAGTGGCAGTCCACTCCACTTTCACGACTACGGAATTGAGCACTATCACACACTAGTTATACCACGTGCACTTGTGAATCAATATTCCTGTATTCTGCTTCAATCATGAGTTATATCAGTACGGGATATCGCTGGTTTTGTTACTGTAATTGTCCCATGCTCAACCTGATAAGGATGTTAAAGCAATTCCTATATCTAGCGACCATCCTTGTTCGACATAACCGAGTGGCTATGTCCGGAACTCGAGAGTTTCAGGCTACTCATCTCTCTGGTGCAACCGGTCTCACCCAATTTTTCCAGCGTCCTGCCGTATGGATGATTCTGACGCTCAGATGGTGATAAAACTCGAGTCTGGAGTTAAATTCACCAATGACCTTACGAACTTGAGACAGCACACCTATTTACGAGCGTCTACACCAGAACATTCAAGACAAACTAATGTCAACATAAAGGAAAATTCTCACAAAATGTGCTTTTTTTTGTTTACCATTTGATAGCTTTCGTCTATATTGTTCCCGCTCCTCACAGGTGGATTGTGCTCAGAGTTGCCACGCAGTTTCTCCTGCAAATGCCCGCAAGGATTTGGTGGACACAAGTGCGAATCCAACTTGTGTGGATGTGGGAAGTCACAAGACTGTCTAGCCAAATGTATGAATACTACCCAGCATCCAGAAACCATGTCAGACTACTGGAACTTAGATCCCGATATCAAACATATAACGGTACATCAACATTCCTCCGGATGGGGGGATATTTTGACTTTCGTCATTGTTGCTGCGTTACTCGGATCAAGTCTGGTAGTCCTGCTTTGTTTCACTCTGTGTTGGTTTCGCAATCGAAAACGTGACCTACCCTTTGGTCTAGCAAGCAATTGCGGTTATTGCGCTATCCAAAACGAGCCTTTCCAAACGTTTAACAACCAACTGGAGAATGACGTCTCATGTCACGTATCCGTGGCGAAATTGTCGCAGCCTCAGACTACGGAGCTCGATACACCTGGATTTTTACCGACCAGTAAGGCCACAGACCATAGACCGTGTGAGACAGACTCTGGTCATCACAAGAGTAAACTGACTTCGACGTGGATAGATGCGCAACAACTGTTCACCGATATTCATAGCAACCCTACTAAAGTCGTCAAACAACACATGGGTGCTATGCGTTGACTGGACAGCACAATCGAATGGAAAACCGAACAGTGTCTCCAAATGTCCACACATGCGCACCAAAGATCATTTCGTCATTACAGTCATGAATGGAGGCTTCGAGGCTTGCAAAGCGTACGCCCCCGTGCTTTCTATCTTTCTTTATATACATATATATACATATGAAGTTATATCTTTCCTGTATTATGTAAATATATACATAGGCATACATCTATAACAACCACTTTGAAGTCAGATTATTGAATGTTGATAAACTGTTTGTTTTTGTGAACCGTTGGGTCTCAAGGACCCAACTCAGGGACAAACTGGAATTCAGAGGGGAGGGGTTATGTTCCTGAACGGAACACTGCCCGTTGCTTGCTTGTAACGTATAAATGGTCAAGCCTGGAACATCGCACCGTGCATACGTTGTGAAAACCTCAAAAGCAAACCCCATCCCCGGAGAGCAGCATTCCAAGTTGGACCACTGAGTTAAACCAATCGGCCCCAGATGACTTCAGGAATACCGAAATGATACTAACCAGGTCGACTTTACCCAAGAGCCAATATCCAGTCTCAACCATGTGCGTAAAACCCAATGAGTCTCTGTGGCCTGTACCGACCACCGGGCGTTGGTACAATCTAGCTGCAGCTTATTCCATACTACTGAAAAGGGCAAAAGTAACACGACGGTCGATAGGATGCAGTCAAATTGACCGGAAATTTTCGGCATTTGACCAGCACCAGCTAATAGAACTGGGTGAACCAAAAACCAATCAGAAGCGGTCTTTGGACGAAGCTTGTTTGGCTTTAATTGGTGTAAAGCGAACATGTGGGTGCCCGTATGGCTCCTAGGCGACAGTGACCTCAAAACATACGGCGATGCACAGTTCGGCCTCGTCGGTGCACGACCGTGTTTCGTCCACATGCCTAAGCATTCATCAGTACAGGCATAGATTATACCACGAAAGACATCGACAGCCCCAGTAAAACGAACACACAAAGCAGACAAATGCACTTTTTGCATTTACGAAGAATATTTATTGAATCATAACGAGCCAACCAGGTTCACAAAGGGCGCAGCACACACAACCATTAGGAGAATTTACACTTGGAAAAGTCCATTTCAGGATGAGCAGCCATGAATTTCTTCAACATCTCCTGTTTCTTCTGATCCTCCGATGTGGGCAAACCCATTTCTCGTTGTCGTTGGTCGTACATCATCTTCTCCACCATCGATCGTGTCTCACCATCCAGATCAGACAACTTGGAGTTCTCCGGCTGAACCTTGCGTGTGTTGATCTCCGGCTCTCCATCACAAATTCGTGGCCACCATTCCATTTTATTGATTTTCTCAAGACTGATTGAGATGATTAAGCCGTCTTCAAGCATCCAAGAGCACTCTTCGACCTAATTAGGGGTTAGGTGAAATAAACGTGATGCCAAACGATGCAGAAAGTGGCATACAAAGAACAGTGTCGTTCGGGGAGATGTTATTACTCGGCCCTTAAGAGTTTTATGTAGGTTAGCGGTGGTCTGTTCACGCATCGATAATAATATGGCATACTGGTTATTGATCGGGTGGCTGCGGATAAGTTCGCCGAGATCTGAAAACGTTTCGTCGCCATTTGAGGAGACAACATCCGTACACATTCAGGCAGGCACTTACTCCCCATGTGATAGCGTTTACATAATTCTTAAAGATACGTAGTAATAGCAGTTGGATAACCACTAAGGACCAAATATCTGCAGAACTTCAAGACCCGAAGCTACACAAGAGACCAAAGAAGCGACTTATGGGGGAAACAGAGGACCGCAAATCGAACGGACTGATCGATTCTCAGTGGAACATGCGAGACTGATCGAAATGCTACACCGACTCATTCAGAGCACAAACCAAACTCTCGAAGAGATGTTACGCAACACAAACGAAAACACAGGATAAAAACCGCAAAGCAAAAACAATCTGTGAACGGGCCGCTGAAACCTCGAGAAAGCTCCTTTCTAATCAGGCTAACGAATGTCAGATAACTCGTAGAAACTGAACGAACGGAAACAGGTAAGTGGGAACTAATCACCAAGGGGGTGAGATGGCTCATTGGTTAGAGCGCGGATTTACTGACCGTAAGGTCCGTGGTTTGAACCCGACCTCTGCATCTGGATCTCTCCTGTATAGGCTTGGGCAACCTGGCAGTATCCTAGCCCTCGTGTTTCCTTCGATCGGCATGAATGATAGGCACCGAAAGGGTGTTACAGCTGAAAGACTATAATCACCCATATGATAATCCCAATTGATAACATCCGCTCCAGGAGTGAAAAAAATGTTTTCAAGCCAAATACCAAATACAGCGAACAGGTTGGCAACCACTAAGCACCAGAGATATCAATGAAAGGTACCTAAGAGCATGGAGTTGTTCATTGACAAATTTAAAAAAATCGTTCAGCTGTAACACCCGTCCGGTCCCTAGCTGCCATGCCACCCGAAAGAAGCACGAGGGTTGATATATTATCAGGTTGTCCAAGCCTAGACAGGAACAGTAGAGATACTGGAACTGGGTTCGAATCACTGACCTTAATCACTGAGCCTTGACGAACTCTGCGAAAGAACTATGCAACGACAACACTGGGGTAAGCACAATTTGATATAGTACAGTTGCAACCACTTGTCTGTGCTCACGGTCAGGCTGGTCCTCAACAAAGGGACGCCCTTCCGTGATACTGCTAGTTCCGTCGAACATTTTGCGCAAAAAGGTTAAATAACAGATCTGAGGTTGGGATGCTTCGCCATTGTGGATTTTGAAAGTTGTCTAGTACCCGTTTGTTCACAAAGACGAATTTTGCATCCCTCGAACGATGGAAATGAATCAAAAGAACATGAATAACGGGGCTGTCTCATAGTTACTCACGGTCGGAGGAGTTTACGTGCACAGATGTCGAAACTGCCAGTCGGACAAACAATCCGACTATTCACCAGAAGTCAGGTCGTCCCGACCAAGTCAACAGATCGTTGGGACACTGCCTAAGTTTCCAATCAAACGGTGAGCTGTCCATGAGTGGTCGGCAGAAGCGTTGCTCAGAAGTCCACACAGAAGTCCGACCTCAACCACCTGATGATTCTCGGCACGAGTAACAGTACCATGTGAACCCAGATGCAGCTTTAATACAAACAGCCCTACTTCGTTCAAAGTCTACTATATACTACTTCCATTAATCGCACTCGTATGGATCCATTGGTGGCTTGTATTCACACTCTGTCGGACAAATGATTCACACCTGGTAGGTCCGTCGGTGAAACGAACACCGTTAGAGTCCATTGTCAGTAACGAACACGAGTGCAAACTAAGGTTCTGGACATTCGTGTCGTGCACATTCACTGGCGCGTGGCGAAGACGAGCAAGTTGTAAGACCCCCTAGTATGAGTTTCACGCAGGTTCATGCGAAGGTTTCCGGTTATTTTTTGTACGGTGTTTCCACAAGAATATTGGAGTGGTTTCACAGAGGTCTCAGAGTTAAAGATTACTTTTTGTGGAATTTAAATAACCGTCAAGTGACAGTTAGATTTTCGTTGTGAATCTAGCCGGAAAAGGGCGGTAAGTAGTTAGGAGAGACTGAACTGACAGGTCACAATGAAAAATAACTTTGTTCGGATGGAGTTGAGTATACGTTAGAACGTTACACAGATACATGCCAAAAGCCGATGTTAAGATGATCTTACCTCCAAGCGATCCCAATTTCATCAAAAAAATCGATGAGAAAATTCGATGAATAAGTCATACGAGCAAGTACATTTTGATAAATCTGTGAAGCGAATAACACGGAATAAGCGGGAACATGAATCTGCGAAGCCGCGGCTAAGTGGATCCGGTGTCGACAGGGAGAAAAGTCGCAAAGCACTGGACACAAAGACATTGAGAATCTTGAGGGAGTCAGAATGCCGGCAGAAGAAAGCGACAGCATGAAGTTACCTACTTACCTTGACTTCGTTGTACAGGTCTCCGCACAAGATTGGGGGCTGATTCTTCAAACCAACCTTCAAATGTTTTCGCGAGATTTCCACCACCACGTCTTTACATCGTATGCGTTTGGAAAGCTGGACAGAATGAGTGGGAGTGGTCACGAGATTACATAGAAATGAGCAAAGGGGAGCGGTGAGTAGACGCGAAAACTGGCAGACAGAATACTCGTATTAAACGGTGTTGGAGAGGAAAGTTGGCGTTGAGTTGTAACGGATTATGCAGTTCGACACGAGACCTGAGAAGTCTGGAAGGTTTTATATTCTACTGTGTCAGGGACGGGCACGGACCGAAAGCGATGCTTAGCGTCCATAAAGTTCCATCACAGAAACCGTGTTGGACGCGACCAAATGACCTAGCCAAAAATTTACGAAAACGATGTGGCTCTACATCGTAGATCAACGTTTTGAGAATGCGGTCTATTATGCGTAAACATACGGTCTGGAACAGGAAATGTGTAAAAACTCTTACACGAGATTAGGGCTCTGGCTAACGTTCAAAAACTGAGCAGTTGCTGATGTTCCATTATATTTGATGGTCCAAAATTAAGGTCGGACACAGCGAAAGGGTGCTGTGGCGGAACTATAAACAGTTAGCCGATAATAGGTCGATCCTAGCTGATGACGTTTTCCTCACCAGTGAGAGTCGATAACAGGATGAAGCAACAGAATCATCAGCTGACTGCGGGAGGAACGCTTGATTCGGATTGGATTGTGGGATCCGACGGGTTTGGTGCAGATGGGTTCTCGAGGCTCCCAATCCATGATAGGCGGAGTCCCGGGATCCATATTCAGGAAGAGAGTAATCGTCGACCCAACTAACATCTGGATTTCACGTTTCAGTCAGTCTACACCGAAAGGCCGAAATAAGTTGTTGAATCCTCGGTTAAGACCATCAGCAATGAGAATCTAATAAACTTCGATAGTGAGTTGAGTCTACAACTTATCGGATAGGATTTTGAACACTACAATTCGGTCAACTTGTAATTAGATGGGATACTATGTTGTTCACAATCAACAACGCACCGAAGGAGTCGCCAGTCAACACCAGGTTACGTGACGTGGAGCACAGAATTGAGGGATGAGTGGCTTCAAATTGTGTAGAAATGCAATTTAACCGCATTGACGGTCATGCTCAACTCTCCTGTTAATGACGATGATTTCCAACAAGTGTGGTATCACTGCTCGGCCTTTCAGAAGGGGATTATTTCACTTAAATTGGAAAATTCAGAATGGAAAACTCCGAATCGTCTCTTCTAACTACAAGGCAAATTGAATTTCTGGGTGGCAACCGCCATTTAACGCTACCAGGCCGTGATCAGTCCATTCAACAGAGAGTTGAGCGAATAGACATGAGAACCACCATGGGTTAAGGGGGAGAATATTTACGAGAAAGGCTACCCAAGGCAGCTGCATAGAGCGCCACAAAAGGAAGAGCATATCAAACAGCCAAGTCTTCCCCTAGACTAGTTTGCAATGTTTACCAGTAAAGCGTTTTCACGAGAAAACTCAAATCAACTCTACTCATGACAGATAGGTGGGTTGTACTTCTGACTGGCACGCCGTCTAAAACAGTTTCTGGCGGTTATCAAGTGAAACGTGTTGTCCACTTCGACACGACGTAAAATTGCCCTTTTATTCCTTCTCTTTGTCACCTTTAGCACCTGCGTTAGCCCCTGTGTTTCCAGGGCATTGGTATTTCGTACTGTCTCGGCGATACGGGAATAGCTGGTTTCAAAACGAAGTTTACCAAGGAGGGAATAGCTGGTTTCAAAACGAAGTTTATCACGTGACTGCGGATCGAGCAGGTCAGCTAACCAAGTAACCGGTCACATGACTAGGTCCGAAGCAATGTAGGTTCTGCTCGATTTAATGCAAGGGCCACGGTCACCCCCTGAAAAACGTGAATTTCGGTGGCGAAAAAGGATACCAAATGTTCATATTATATTTGCCTGATGGCCTATGGTGTACAAATGTGCCTGGTTGTTTTTTTCCTCCGATAGGCTATCTTGAGAAAGAAAAAAGTTGTCACGTGACCCCTTAGTCTACCGGTGACGCATCTATCGATTCTGCCAAATTAACTTGTTTTGCAGTCGCATGCAAATTGGTGAGTTGAACGTTACAGGTCGTAACTCGACCAACCGGTTCACACGTGACTACATGATATGGGTTCCGTGATTGCAGGATGAGTGACGATCTACCCCACGTGCGAGATAACCAAACTGCTGGTCAACCACTCGTGGACGAACGGTTAAGTCCGCGGGTTCGAAACTCCCTGGAATTTCGTGAGATGTGCACTGCTGATGCCTCTCAACAAGAATGTGAAACAGCTGCAGAGTGCTTCTCGGCTTTCCAACGTGGACTGACTTCACCTACAGAACAAAATCTCAATGGAAGATTGCCAAATCTGTCCACACTATCATCAACTTAACAAGTTAGCCTCTTTTGATTGAGAGTGGTGATAATTTGTGAATCTGGTTGAGAACATGTAGTTCGGCCGTACCGTAATTCGTGGCTGAGATTGGCCTCAACGGTGCGCCCGGTTTACGAATCCACACATCTCAGGCAGTCAACACCCACTTGGATTCATCCGTGTGCCTTATCGCCAATCTAACCGTATTTGACAGGTGGATCGGTTTTCCCCTTTCATCCTTGTGTGCCGAGGGGATGGCTTCCCGCGTATAAGGACAAAAGAGTGGCGGCAGAGATTGCTTCATGGAACCTACATGGTAGGCTAGGGGAA